GCGTGCACCTGTGTGTGTGTGCATGTGTTCACGCGTGTGTGTTCATGCGCGTGCACCTGTGTGTGTGTGCATGTGTTCACGCGTGTGTGTTCATGCGCGTGCACCTGTGTGTGTGCATGTGTTCACACGTGTGTTCATGCATGCACACCTGTGTGTGTGTGCATGTGTTCATGCGTGTGTGTGTGCTAATGTGTGCATGAGCATCTTTCTTAGCTTTGCAAATAAATTTCTCAAATTCTTTGTTTCCCTTTCTATCTACTTGGGGGAAAGAAGAGGGCAGGAAATCAGGCATGACCCCCTCTCCCCTGGCCATTCATGTTGATTAGAATTCTTCTGGATTCTTCAGTGAAGACTTTGTACCAAAGGGATGCCAAGAAGTACAATATGATAAAACTGTAGCTAAATATGATAAGCAGTTAAACCAAACAAAGTAAAGACAACATATTTGCTGTGCAAATTGGGTAACTTCTGACACCATCCCTCCTCTGCTCAGAGGTGGGTCATCCTGACAAGAGAGAACATAGGTCCTGGTTCCTGCTGCTGCTGCTGTATGCCCCCAGCCCTGGAGCCCTGGTCATTGGCCTGCCTTCCCTTGCCCGCCTGGTCAGCGGCCTGCCTTCCCTTGCCCGCCTGGTCAGCGGCCTGCCTTCCCTTGCCTGCCTGGTCAGCGGCCTGCCTTCCCTTGCCCGCCTGGTCAGCAACCTGCCTTCTCTTGCCTGCCTTCTCCACACCTTTCCATGCAACTTTCCTGTTGTTACAGTATTCTTATCCGCAGTGTGAAAGCAATGTTTCTATGCCTCAAAAGCTGCCTTGTTAGACTGGCTCTGGGCCTTGTCTTTGGGGTTATAGTCATTCTCAGAGGCAGAGCTAGTGATGGTCCCAAGATGCTTCTTTTTCCTTGATCTACGTAGCTTTTTAGCTGCAGAAGACAGTGAAGTCTTTCCGTGCCCTTCTCTGCCCTGAGTGCTTCGACTGTATTCTAACTGGCTGCTGTTGGGACATACACAGGGTTTGACATCATGACCCAGAATTCCCTCCAGCAGCCTTTGCACTTTTCTCTCTCTCCTAAGTGTGCTCATCCTCCGCTGGGTTCCTACCTCAGGTACAGGTGAGCCTCTACCTCTAGCAGACGCTCTTAGCGTTCTCTATGGACATGGATTCCCAGCACAGCAGAAAGGTTGTTGGAAGGTGAAGAGACTGCTTTTTAAACACGCTTCTCAGATCTTGTGATTTTCAGTACTGTTGACCACTAGGAAGATAAATGAGAGGTGTTAGGCTTGTTATCTTGTTTCTGTCCTGTGGTATACCTCAGAAGGGGCAAAGCCGGAGTTTGCTCCCAAAGAAGGGGGCAGTTGTCCACTTCATTCTCTGGTCCACAAGTCTCTGGGCTTTGCAGTGGGGTAGATGCCGGAGACCCCTCAGAAAGAGTGTTTGAGGGTAGTGATGAGGAGATGGAGCGTGGGAGACGGGGAGAGCAAAGCTGGGGAGACTGGACCAGAGCAAACGGTCACAGCGGCAGCATCACCAACCCTCTGGCAGTGTCCGGGGTGTCCAGTACCACTTCTCCCAGGCAGGGCGGTGCCCACTGGGCAGGGCCAACTGCTGCTGAGAACACAGGCGGAATCCCAGTGTGTGGCACACCCCTTTGTGTGCTTAACGATGGCAAATCCACAACCTCAGACAGGGCGTGATATGAGGAGGAGCAGAGTCTGAGAAGCAGGCGTGTGGTCAAGCTGTGAGGAGCCAAGTCAGGACAGGGTGGACTGTGACATCCTCAGCAGACTTCATGTGGGGCTCGTGAGAGAGGAGAGAGCCAAATATTTGGCAGCACGAGCATCTGTGGGAACAGAACAGCTTCCCACAGCTCGGAGCCTCTGAGGGACGCTGTCCTTCCTACAGATAAGCGTGGTCACCTGGGGTTTGAAGTCCCACAGTGTGGGAATGAATGCTTTCTTGGGTCTGTTTTCCTTCCTCTGCCCAATTTGGCGATGGTGCTCCAGTAAGACAGGGCTTCCGGAGGGGGACGCCAGAGCTGGGATTAGTAGTTAAGGGCTTGGCCTTCACAGCCGACTGACCCTGTGGCACTATGACTGCAGATGACCTCTGCCAGCGGGATGTGAGCCTCCTTTGGCCCTGTCCTCCTGTGAGGAGCAGAGGGCTGCTGCCAGCAAGTGACACACTTCCTCCTGTAACCTTCCACTAGTGACAGATGTTTCTGAGACAGCCTGCCAGGGCCAGGGGGCTGCTCGATGGAAAAATCCATCAGCGTGGAGCACCCCAGGAGCCTCTGAGCTGCAGGAAGCTGTGGGCTGTTTCTCACCAGGACAGCGAGCTCACTGTGCCGGCTTCAGTGGTGTCCTGCCTACTGGGGCTGCCCTCCCCCGTCCGCACTCCCATCTGTCTGACCTGGGAGAGAACATCTCTGGCCTGCTGGACATGTGAGATATGTCTGGAAAGATATCTGCCACACAACACTTTTTCTTTCTTTGACAGTGTCTTTACGATAGTGGCTCTTTACATACTTAGCTTAAAAGATCCAGACCGGCATGCCTCCAGTCTCCCTCCAAGGTGAGAGTTCAGATGTCATAGTCCTCCGGGGAGAAGGGTCCTTGCAGGCCGGTCTCATTATCAATCATTTCATTCTCCCCCTCCAGCAACCTTACCGGCTCTCAGGAGCCAGCGCTGCAGCCCACAGCCACCTCCTCAGGTAAGGCCTCTGCATTCCTGCCTGTGCTCAAACCCCATCTGCGTATCCCGCGAACTGTCAGCAGAAGAAACCAGCCCTCCAGGTTAACTGCTGCCCCCACTTCTCTGCTCAGCACCCAACATGTCCCTGGCAACCACACAGGCCTCTTTCCAAGCACCTGAAATTACATTCTGTGACATTCTGCCCTGTGAGGAGACTCACTGCTGTCCCCTCTGGGGAATGAGAAGAGTCTTTTCCAGTTCTGTGCAAAAGCACTTCCAGGAGGCGTCCCGTCAGAGGCCGGGGGCAGGTAAGCACTGCTCAGAGAGGGCCGGCTGCAGTGTTGAGCCTGGGGGGTTTGACTTCTCAGCATTTACTCAGATGGTCTGTTAACTGTTCCACGTTTTATGTGGGGTGGCAAAGTCTTTTAAAACACCAATACACAGAATGGCAGCCATCTGTAATACTGTAATGGCAGCCATCTGAAATACTGAGTTCCATGCTCAACTTGGTTGATTCAAGTACTAAAAATTTTCATGGAGTGGGAAGGGTCCCATTCGTCCATTGCCAACCAAGGTCGTAATAGCAGCACAAGTGAAGGAATTATGTGCATGCTGATTGATTTTTTGGCTCATTTAGAACTTTAAAAAAATGATGTGGTGTCTGGGTTCTCTGCCCAAACCAACTAGGGCAAAATGGAAGAGCCTTTAAAACTCTAATTTAGATTTCAGGGTAAGCTTTAAGCCGGTGAAAAACTCAAGGTTGGCGTTCTACTCTCCTCTTCCTCCTGGGGACACACACACGGTGTTAGAATTTTCATTTTAAAAATTATACAAATTTAATCAAAGGCTGCAAGTGTAATTATCTTGTGGAAGATGACGTATAATTCTTTCCAAAACATACTAATTTATTATTGTTTTTAGACATGCCCTTCTATTTTGGCCACATTAATGAACGTCTAGAATGATATTGATGATGATGCTAATCATGAGGACGCCCAGCTGTGTGGCTTATTGATTAGGATGCTGTCACAGCAACTCCTCCCATGGTGAAAATTTATTTCTGATTCACTCCAATATTAAACGTGGATCAGAAGAGAACTCTTGGCTGCCGTGTCATTTAGGACCCAGCTGATGGAGATTCCATCTCATTACATATTTCCGTGATCTCCATGAGAGCGCAAGGCGAGTGCACACTGGCTCCTGGTGCTCCTGCCTGGGTGGGACACGTGGATGGCTCTTCTGCTTGTCCTTTATTGGTCAAACAGCTCACATGGGTCATGTCTGATTTAAACGTGGGTGGAGAAATGCAGATGTGACGTCGGCCTGGAGAGATGAACCGGGACATTTGTGACAACCCTAATGACTGACACAGGCACCGATTTTGCCCCCTTTTTTCCCGTGAGGAAGCTGAGACATGGGTAGTTCTTTCCCTACACCTGCAGGAGGCAGTGCTTGCACTGTTTTTCTCATGAAAATGTTTTATTGAACTTGGGAGCAGATGCATCACTATCAAGGGAGGATAAAGGTTCATTTTGGAGAAAGGGATTAGTTTTAGTCGTCATGTTCCCAGTATTTTTAAATGGGGAAAAACCTAGAAATAGCACAAAATCCCCAACCCCTCCTCCCCTGTGAAAGCACATGGAATCTTGTGCCCATAAACCCTTTCTTACCTTGTGAGTCCACACTGGGCACATGTGGCATCCTTCCTCAGAAGGAACAAAGTGACCGATATGAGGCCTGCTGACAATGCCAGATCCTGAACAGAAAGGGGTTGTGGGCTGGCCTGCTCTTCATTGTCAAGGATTTCTTGAGCCTTGAGCGAATTCACTCCTAGAGCTGTTAGCTCTTCACTTACAGTCATGTAGCACCTAACAGCGTCTCAGTCAGCAATGGGCCACGAGGATGACTGTCGTCACACAAGATCACAATCAAGCTGAAAAGCTCTGTCACCTAGTGACACCTTGATGGCCCTGAACCTACGTAGCCAGCCCTAGGCTAACACATGTGTTTGAGTTTTCATTTTCATAAAAAAGTTTAAAAAGAGAAAAAGTAAAAATTTAAAAATAGAAGAAAACGTGTAGCATAAAGATATAAAGGAAGAAAATATTTTTGTACAGCTGTACAATGTGTTTGTGTTTTAAGCTGAGTGTTATTACAAGAGCCAGAAAAGTTTGAAAAATTTAGATGTTTATAAAGTGAAAAAGTTACAGTAAGCTAAGGTGAACCTATTATTGAAGAAAAAATTATTTTATACATTTAGTATGGCCTAAGAGAGCAGAGTTTATAAAGTAAGTGGCTGGGCCCCATAAGGCCCCAGTGTGGTCCCCAGGCTCACACACCACCCACTCACTGACTGACCCAGAGCAACTTCTAGTCCTGCAGCCTCCTTCCATGGTAGGAGTTCTCAACGGTGTGCCATTTTTTACTTTTTGTACGGAGCGTTCTATTTTCACTATACCTTTTCTGTGTTTAAACATGTTTGGATGCATAGCTACCTACCATGACGTTACAGTGCCCGCAGTGCTCAGCGGACAGCGTGGAGTCAGCACCTCCCAGCCTCCGTGCGTGCGGCTGGCTGTGCCCTCAGGGCTGTGCAGGACACTCGGCAGTGTTTGCACAGTGATGACACTGTCCAGTGATACATTTCTCAGAACTTACTCCCGTTGTTAGCTGATACATGACTATGTTGGGAAGAACAGCCCTTATCAGACCAGAAGGTCTGTGGCTCTGTTCTCTGTGACATTGAGCATCTGCTCATCTTGTGTTTCTGAACCTCTGGAAACTCCTAAAGAAAGAAGTGACTCCCACAGAAAGCCGATCTGGCCAGGCGGGGTCCACCTAAACAGAAGTAGCGTCTCCTCCACCTAAAAATGGAATCGAATTGCTGCCTTCCCAGGTTCCTGACACGCTGGAAACTTCTCTCCTGTTTCTTCTTTCACCTGGAGGAATATGGAAAGAATTCAAGTGTTCGATTCACTTTCACCTTCAGAAAACCTGAAAACTTTTGAGGATTTAGAGACATAAAATCTCAGCTAGCAGCTTCACCAGTGGTAACCTGATTGAAAGATTCATGATTTACATACTGTTACTATGATTTGATTGAGAAAATTTCTAAATGGATGAAGGGAGAATGTAACCATAAATTCAGTTAAGGTTTTAATTGAATTGTCTTTATACTCCAACAGCAACATTTGGAAAAAACAGCATAAGTCTATGGGGAGAAATGTTATTTTTCAAGTCCGCAGACTATACTACAGACTCCTTTATAGAACCACCGAGGTTCCAAAGTCCCAGTGTCTGGAGAACCACTGACTTACACCAAATAATCCATGTTACAGCTGATGAAATGAAGCACGGGGTCTTGCTTAAGAGTCTCCAGTCGAGTTGCCGGCAAAGTTGGAAGTGGAGTGTGGGCCCTCAGTTTCCCTGCCAGGGTTCCTTCCCACCACCACGCAGCCTCCATTCATTTGGGGTGGATATGCATGTACCTGAGATCAACTCTGAGAGATGCAGAAAATAGCCACTCTGTGCTCCTAGGAAGGCCTTTCTGCTCCCTGCCCCCCATGAGTTTGCCTTTTGCCTCAAGATGTCCCAGATGGGCTCTGTCTGCCGGTCTGAGGAAGGGCTCTGCTCCCTGCTGCGGCCCTCCCTGCCCTCCCTCCCTCCCTCTGCCCAGGGAACTGTATAAACCATCCTACCTGCAAAAGAGGAAGCCAGGCACTATTCTTTTCATCCAGATGTTGCTGAGGCATTAAAAAGTAAATTAAGAAGTAAAAACAAATAAGAAATTCAAGGGTAAAAATGAAAAAACAGAAGAACTCTCAGTGGGACACAGAGTAATATCTAGCAGCTTACCAAGCTCCCAAATGCATCTGTGAGCCTCCTCCCTGAGGAGTGAGACGGCAGGAACTCGGCGTGTTTATAACGTGCTGTCCCCCCTCCCCCACTTACATAAAAGATTTGAGTAAGACTAATCAGAAGTGGAAAGTGAGTATTTAGAATACTGAGTTGCACTCTGAGGAACCAACTGAGTGTGAAGAAGAGAGTTTTAATCCACAGATCCAGTGAAGAGATAGAAAAAAAAACGAAGGGGGAAACATCGATGGCATTTTACAGATTATAAGACAGTTAGTGGGGATTTTTAAAATATCATGAAGCAAAAAGGCATCTGACATGCACGTGGAGGAAGCCAGAGCTCCGAGAAGAGCAAACTGCCAAAAGAAAGCGGTGGCCTGAGCTAAAGGACCAGGCCATGGATAGGCGGGGCTTGTCAGCTTTTCATGGGGTCCCCTGGGCTAAAGGACCAGGCCATGGATAGGCGGGGCTTGTCA